TGTCTCTGAAAGGGGGGTCGTTAGAGGGAATTGTTGGCCTGGCTGAATAGGTGAGGCGTTCTGTTCTCCTGTAAAGAGGTTGCGTTTGGAATGATAGCAGAAGGTAATCAGCTCTATTGCTGCATTGTAGGTTATTGAAAGCTGAAATCTCTCCCTCTCTGTTTAAGGTTGTTGGGTTTTTTTTCTTAACATAAATGGCTTCCTTCATGTCCCTCTCAAACCACCTGTCTTCTTTGTCCAAAATGTGGACATTCTTTAGAGGACCAGAATGTTCACATTTTGGACAAAGGAGACAGGTGGTTTGACAAGGACATGAAGGAAGCCAATCTTCTTTGTCCATCAGGTGTAGATGTACTGCAGAGTCTTGTCCAGAGGAGGGCGCTCTCCTGTGTTGGGCCATGCGTCTGTGGAGAGGTTGTTTGGTTTCTCCAATATAAAGATCAGAGCATTCCTCAATGCATTGAACTGCAGACACCACTATAAAGCCTCTATAAACCCCGGAACTCAACGCTATTTCTGACATTTTGAATTGAAAAAGCTTCCTGGATGGAAGAGAAACGTCTTCAAACTTGGAAACAAAGTCCAGTGGATTGTTTTTTTTAACTTTTTTGTAATGACTCTGACCTGAATGACTGAGAATCTTCACCAGCACAACAGAAGTTTGTAGAGATATGGCTCAACTAAAAACTCAGAACTTTAATTACAAGAAACGAGGTACTTTGAACATCTTAAGACATCCAAACAAATTACGATAAAGTTTGTGGTCGTAACCAGACAGAATGATAACCTTAATGGTGTGTTAACGTTGCAGGACTCTGAATATCTTTACCTCCATTCTAAAAAGTTTTATTGCATTAAGATTAATATTTCTGGGAAGTAGTTCATTAAAAACCTTTAAGAATCACTCAAAGTCGCAGCCTAGAATCTCAACTCTCATGGTGATGGAGTTCCACCATCTTTTAGGGACAATTCGAATGAATCGAGAGAAGATGGGAGGATAGATGTAGTTCTTCACGTGATCATCGTTGTTTGTGTTTCCATCAAACACCTACATTTATGAGAGGGAGAAAGAGTTTCATTAGAACTATTTTAACAAACAAAAGGCTCCAGCAAAGTGCTCCTTCTGCGTTAGCTTACCTTTACAGTTAGATCACGAATATCTGTGTAGTAGGTCCAGTGTATCCCGTTGTCGCTGTACTGCAGAGCATACTTCATGACGTACATCTCCTTTCCTATCGACTTGGCTCCCTGAGTTACGATGCCTGTGATCTTCTTCACGTTGGGCAGTTCCACTTGGAGCCACTGGTTCATGTCATTTTCCTTCATAAAAACAGCAGAGACACTATAAAATGTCTTACGTATTTTCCAAGGTTTTACCACTTACATTTCTGGCTACTTTGGTGCCATAAACCATTGTGAAACCATTGCCGTGCTGTACAGAGTTGCAAAGAACAGCTTCAAGGGACATGAGAGGCCTCCTGTTGTGCTCGCCATAAAGGCTTGATTCCCACCTTCCTGTGGAACTGGCCCAGAATGCATTGGAAAGAACTCCTGTATGTCTTTCCTTGCAGGCTGGGGAGTTTCACTCTTCAGACTGTTTACTTGCAGGCTACTTCCAGAACCAGATTACTAAGAAACAGACTGTCTGCAGCATTCGCCAGCCTGGGGAACTGCCAGGCCTAACAGACTGGGTGCGGTGCAGCAACACGGTACATGACGATTCGATTCATCACTATTCATCTCTCACACAGTCGTTACAAACAAAAATCTTGTTAATTCCAACTGCAGGTTATTAATTGAAAAAGGTTTGACTTGGGATTGTTAGGATAATTATCATTGATGATGTGTGAGTTTATTACACCTTAATATTAGCTGCCTGTTGCGTGTCAGAACTGATGTTTTCCCCAGTAGTCTATCTGATTAGGCCGGTTCCTCTGTCTGGATATAAACAGTTATGATCTTCATTCTGTACGTGGCAAAGATTTGGGAATGGAATTAGAGTGGCGTCCTTCAGCTAAGAACAAAGTTTAGTATTTTCATAAGGCTGGAGCCATGGATGTCTCCTCATCTGCAAACGTGTGTGATGTAAGGATGTGGTAATGTGGCATAGTTAGAGAAGTATAAAATGCTTCTCTAACTCTTAATCGGGGCCACTTCCCGAGAAGTGAGCCCGTTTGGTAAGCAGCTGCCTTCTGTAACTCTGAGCAACTTTTCTGATCTGATTATTATTATAATTTCTATCAGACATCATCAGTACATTATGAAGTGTACATGTGTACCGAGTGATCTCTTTTCAGTTAGCGAACCTGAGAGAGAAAGCTTCAAGGTGTAAACACAGAGCCTGCCTTTAACAGGATTAAATGTATTTTTGTTGATACATTCTTACATATTGAATGTCAGTCATTGTAAATTTATTCTATGACTATTCAGTCCTGATTTTATTGAATTCCATTTTAACCTCTTGTCCAAACACAGAGCCCAGTCCCATTCTGTGCAGGACTTTTGGAGATTAAAAAGAAAATAAACAGTAATGTTTGTTGTTGTAAGTTGACAAACACTGATTGAAAAAGCTCAAAGTGAATACTTTCGTGAGGCACTGGTGATTCCTACCTTAGCTCTCCATGCATTAACGGCACCCTGTTTGTTGAGGCGAGCAAGAGAGGCTTTCCAGTCTCCGTTGAACCAGCTGGATGCCTCGGAGCTGGCTGTGATGCGACTATCTTCTATCAATCCACTCTCCAACCCCAAAGGAACTGAGCAACCTGGGGACAGGGCATTAGAAATGGACAATCAAAACACAATCCTCAGACGCCTTACTCCAAAGTCTAGGACGATGCATCAACGCATATCATCAGAATGGACTCCCTTCTTGGTAAAGATGGCTTTACCTCCAGGGTTAGGCCCTAGTGGTAAGTAAAGGGGGTGCAATTCTGAATTCAGAATTGATTTGAAATGTTCTCCAGCAATCTGGAATCAGTCTACCATGTCTCTGAGGTATTGCTGTATCTGCAGACCTTCATCTAGAACTGCAGCTCATGTTGTATTGTAAATAGTAAATGGAGGTAAATGGATTTATGTCACTTCTCTTATCACATTGACTAATTATTCAAGTGCAAACACCAGATTAGTGGAGAAGTTGAGGTATATCACCTTTTCCAGAGCCATTAGTATAACAATATGCAAACATGTGACCAATGTGGTAGGAATGAATAGAACTTTGCAAGGTGTCCTACTCTAGTCTTACTCCACATGCTAGTGGTTGGGATATAACACACAGTACGAGGCTTTGTATACTCTCGCAGCATGTGTCGCAATTAGCTTGTCGCAGGTATGACGCAGTTATTTTTGATTTATGCCCAATTTTGCCCTGTTCCTGGTCTGCAGTGGTAATTTGGTGGGGCGATCATGTAAGGCTATGGGGAGTAAAGACTGATGCATGAGACGCTTTCCTTCAGAAAACTCTAAATATCACAACATTCCAAAGAGATTCTTGCTGGTTCCTTTTGAAAGGTCCATCAAACATTGCAGTTTTTTGTGTTAAACCACACCGGCCACAGCATTATGGACTCCTTCAAGGGAATCAACAATGTCTAATGAACATCAGAACTGGAGCACCAAGTGATGAAAGGAGGGATGGATGGATAACCCTAACCCTGCCTGGCTAACCTGGAGCACACATGGCGCCGCAATGCCTTCTGATTGGAAGATGGCATGTTGGAAGAGATGATTTAGGCAATGATCTGTAGGGAAACATTGGGTTCAGCCATCTTACCTTTGATGGACACAGCTTCCTCTAGCAGAATAATGCACCAACTCAAAAAGCTAAAAGGATCGAGAAGGGTTTGAGGAGCTAAGTGTGGATCAATTTCCCCAGATCTTCATCCAATAAATCATCTGTAGGACAGACTTGATCTAAGGAGGACCCACCCAGATAGGTGAAGGATCTACTTATAGATCTACTGGTGGCAGATACTACTGTTACTACTATTTTGGCAACTTATGGTACTTTCACAAAAACACAGTGAGGATCAAAGGGGGGCAGCGGTACGTCAAAAGCATCCCAGACAGAGCGCACCAAAGTGGGGAGAGGCAGCGGAGACTGGCCAGTGTCTGAACTTGAGGTAAGGGAGGATGACAAACAGTTCCTCTGGGTGAATTAAAATGGCTTTTTAAAGCCACCCCAAAAACCTTGTTAGAGCATTCTTTATTTCATCCTTTGTCAACATTATTTTCTCTCAATTCCATTCTGACTGAAAGAAACGTTTGTCTCAGTGTGACTGCACCGTAAGACAGTATTAGCTAGTTGCTGACTGTGTATAAATGTAGTGGATTACACCATAAATACACTATTGTACCAATTATACAGGTCCGCGTTATTATTAAGCAAAATCTTACCATCAAGCTCACAACCATAGAACTCCATGCGTATTGTTGCTGCGTTGTCCCAGGTGATAGGGTGGAGCCTAATGTACCGTCCGACCAGAGGAGGAAAGAAGGTGTTTTTCTTTATCCCGTAGGCGTCATTGTTTCCTTGAAATGTCTAAATAAAAAAGGACAGATAAACGAGGTATGAATGAGGAATGATACAAGTGTTCAGTTTAGATGAGAGAGGTCAAAATCCCCTACCTTGCAGAAATCTCTGCTGTCGCCTTTGTAAAAGAACCATTTCTGGCCGTCATTGCTGTATGAGATGGAGAAATTTGTGGCATACTGGGACTGAAAAAACTCCCTGGCTCCTTGTGTGGCGACCTGGCTGATCACCACTGGCCTGTCGAAGTCCACCTTTTAGTGGGAGGTCAACAGAGAACAGTTCACTACATGAAGGACATAACTTTTCTATTTAATATTCCAGTTTTCCTACTCCCATTCAGAAAGACAGGAATTCTCTCTAAAGTCTGAGCTTCCTGACACGAACCATCATTTTTCTATCCAATATAACTGCTTGCCTGCAGGACATTATAAATGTTTCTCTTCAAAAAGATCTTATTAGAAACCAGTGAAACATAAATCTGTTGTCTGACTCTGCTCATTCTTTGTTTAAATAAAGTGCATTTAGAAAACTATACACCAAACACTTTTTCTGCCGCTCTCTTGAAGGAAGGGGTCGCATTTTCCTGCTGCTCTGCTGTGTCATATATTTTCATTCATATCACCCAAATTCAAACAATGGATCTGGTCAGCTGGTCTCTCAATGCAATTGATCAAATTTTCTCAACTGGAAGACAGGGTAAAGGGGACCCGTTGTGTCCTGCTGGGACATACTTGGTGGGATACACCATGGACTCCAGGAGGGCTTGGAGGATGGTGTGTTTTACAATGTAAAGATGTATGAATTTTCTGATTTGATACTCGGATTTCTCCTGTTTGTATTTGGAGGATACCTGAAGGCAACCTGACTCCCCCAGATGGATTTGCTCCGCATATCCATCTGGAAACCTTCCGTAGAAGTAATTTTGGGAAGAGGCGAAAATTCTGGTTAGCTGATTGGCCTATGTTGGTGATAGACGGGCCAAATAAACCAATCAGATCAACGAAGCATATGACGTACTAACAG